GCCAGGTATCGTACCTGGCCATTGTGGAGGGGGTGGTGAGTGGGTTGAGTGGTGGAAGCTGAGCTGTCTGCCAACCCGGGGCCCGGATTGGCTTATATAGTAGGTGCAGGGCCAACCCACCCAAATACACACACCCAACACACAAAACTAGGGAGGGGCGGGTGTGACCTCGCGGAGGGCAGGTTTTAGGGAGGAGCGGAAAAGCGGAAAGGGCTGGAATTGAGGGGCCCAGGTTTCTTTGGGGGACCCAGTTGGGGAATCTGATTGGAGGAGAGGGGTACGGTAGGTGAGAGAGAGTGAGAGAGAGATAGATAGAGAGAGAGAGAGAGAGCGAGAGAGCGAGCGTGAGATAGAGGAGCGAGAAATGAGATAGAGGGATCGCTAGAGAAATAGCGATTTCCAGACCACGCGAGAGAGCAGTAAGAGAGAAAGAGAAAGAGAGAGCGAGAGAGAGAGGGAGAAAGAGCGAGAGAGCCTCCAAGCCCCAGACGACCCTAAAAGCCCGCCAAAGTGTTGCGCTAGACTTCGCGAACGCCGCGAAAAACCGTCGAGAACCCTGCGAAGCGCCGTGCGCGCGCGTCTGGCGCTTTTTCGGCGGCACCGTGGGACCCTGCAAAATCTGCAAGAAACGGTGGAATCTATGGTCTGTGGAAATTGGTTCCGTTGTTCCCAAAAATGCTTTTTCGAGGTAACGACAGTGTTTCATCGGATTCTTGCCTGGCGACTACAGCAAGAATTTTCTCTCTCTCTCTCGTTCTCTCTCTCTCTCTCTCTCTCTCTCTCTCGCTCTTTCTGTCACGCTTTCTGCTTATCTATCACTTTGCCTTCTCGTGTTCACATGCCAGAAACTCATCTACAATTTGCTAAACATTCGTGATGAATGAATGTTTCATTTTGGCACTTCTTTGTTACTGTCACAAATTAATCCATCACTGGATCAACAATGCCTACTAGCCTGCCCTCTCCTCTTCCTCAACAATCTCTGCTAGCCTGCCCTCTCCTCTTCCTCAACAATCTCTGCTAGCCTGCCCTCTTATCTTCCTCAACAATCTCTGCTAGTCTGCCCTCTCCTCTTCCTCAACAATCTCTGCTAGCCTGCCCCCAGTGACACATCGCAGACGATCGTCGGCCTTCTAAAAGCGCCACCGGATCCCTTTCACACTGGAGGGTCCGCGTTGGGACCCACGCGCGCCCCGGGTACACACGCCGGGTGGTATGGGTGCTTGAGCAAGCATGGAACAGGTATTTTCACCCTTGATCTCTGCGTTCTCTCTCACTCTCTCTCTCTCTTTCTCTCTCTCTTTAGAATCCATCGGTACACTCAACCCGACGCGACCTCGGCATTCCCTATTGGCAAAAGCCAGTGAAATGGTGAATGGGGTAAATGGGCGGGTAAGAAACATATTTTTTTATTCCACCAGTCAATTTGAGATTTATTAGTATTTTGAGGCCCTATGAGATTTCTCTAGTTTTAAGCAAAGTCTGCTAAAGCTCTTGTAAATACCCCTCTATGCCTTCTATCGCTTCTGCAGTGATTTGTTTGTTATGGTACGGCCTCGTCCCACATTACGTTGCCGAAAAAATATTTGTCCGCTGAATAGAGTAGAACATACAAATTTTTGCACAGCTTTAGCCCAATAACTGATGCTGCCCAAGAATAAATTAGACCAAAAAAAACCCCGATGACACAATGATTAGACCTGACAAAGATTTTCGGAGCTACGAGAACGAAACACATGTTTTGAACGTGGCGAACAATGAGATAAAGGTCTAATTTCAAGCAATTTTATGTTTCTTGCATTTTAATCAACTCCCTGATTTTAATCTGAATTATTTTAAGAGAAAGAAAACATTGTTCGGCCGTTTAGCCATTTAGCTACGGGAGCGAAACACCTATTTTTGAAAACACAAAACTTGTTAAAAATTCAGTTCTTAGAATTTTTCGTTATTCTGTGGTAATATTTTGATTTTAACGGTAGCATAGGCTAGATTATTTCTATTCCCGAACTCGTAATTTTTCACCGCTGATTTGATGCAAGATGCACTATCTGAGCTGAAAAAACATTCAACGAGCCCTGAAAATGAAATATAGAATTTGAAGAAACAGAATAATTCAATTTTGTCGGCGAGTTGCACTCATGGATTATCGACGGTTTGGATATTTTTTTAAGTTTCTGACCTAAAACATGCTATTTTAATCATGTTTTTCCCTTTTCCAAACAAGAACTTACAACCCGGTTCAAATACAGGTTCTTCTTCCCAAAAATGTGTTTCGAAAACTCTCAAAAATAATCGGACCTTATATGTTGTAATGTTGAGACGCGTTTTTGGGTTTTGCAATTCTGTTTGATAATTCCCGGCTGACAACGCGCCCGTAAAGCTGACCTTTGCCCTCAAACAATTGGGAATCTTTGAGGACAGACGGGCACACAATTCCGCAGAGATCATCGCCACGGTCTGGACGGGCGGTTTGTTTGATCGTCAAACATTCAATTTCTGGGCTGTACGCCTCTCTCTCTCTCTCTCTCTCTCTATCTATCTCGCTCTCTCTATCTCTCTCTCTCTCTTTCTCTTTCGCTACTACGTATTTACCATTTGCATCGAAAAATATTGTGATTTGGATGTTTCATCTCAACTGGTACTATCCTACTCCGTTTTGAAGAACAATGTTTCAGTCTTCGTTTAACAGAAATAGTTAATCTAATTTTTAGTAATAGATGATCAGGCAGGAAAATAAAAGCGACCTTTTCCACCAATTTATTTTGAGCGTTTTAGATAGTTTGCCTTTTCAGATTAAACCCAATAACTCCCTAACCATGCCTTGCCGATCCCTTCAAAAGTCAGAAACCCCCAGCTAGGCACGCAGCGGCGACCATTCCCTGGCCCTGGGAATGGTCATAAGCCATATTGTCCGGTTCTGCCTGTTGTCCTTTTTCTCCTTGTCCCAACAGCTTGTTCTTTGGGGCCACTAGGGGGCCCCGAAAGGGCCCAAAGACCCCACCGAAAAGACCCAGAAACAGGTCATCCCAACGGCTTCTTACCGTCCGCATAAAAGCGGTCAACTGACAGGAAAATGGTGCCATTCACTACGATACTATACGACGACCCTCTGACGTCTTCTCATCATGAAGATGTATGTTTTTTGGGCAGGCTAGCAGAGATTGTTGAGGAAGAGGAGAGGGCAGGCTAGCAGAGATTGTTGAGGAAGAGGAGAGGGCAGGCTAGCAGAGATTGTTGAGGAAACGAAGAATTATTTAATTTTTAGGCTTATCATGATTTCCTCGATGCTAATCGCTGGAACCTCAGCGCAACTGGCAGCGGTGAGTTTTATAGCAAAAAATTAAATTAAAGTTTTGTGAATTTTTATGTTTCAAATTTCTTCGATAATCAGTGTTTGGCCACTGATGTAGTAAATTTTTCCCTTTTCCTGGTTGACAGAAATTTCTTTCTTAAATTATTTATTCTCTTTATATCTATTTTATTTCAATTTTGCAGTGGCCCGCCTCCTCGTACTCTCCATATTTCGAGAGTCTCTTTGCGGCTGCCCGACAGCCGGTCAATGCGATTCCGGCCCGTGATTCTGCCCTACCCGCCCCGGCGAGACCGGTAAAGATTTTTAGTTTTCACGAATTTACTTTCTTTATAAGCCGAATTTTTCTACTTCTTTTATTTATATTTCTTTTCCTTAGTTCTTAGAGCTGAGAGCTTTGCTGGACTGAACTGAAAGCTGAACGATTATCAAAAAAAAATGAAAATAAAGCGAGTTTGACGACTTGTTGTAACATTCTGTTACAAAAAATGCAAAATGAAAAACCTTGGTATATGTTGCTGCAGTCAGGCTGATAGTATTGACCATAGTCGTATTTAATTAAATTAGTGATTTTTCGACGGCTCCCCAACGATTTGGGAACTACATTGGGAACCCGAATTGTGATGACAAATCCTCAAAATTGTTAGTTGAGCCGATAAAACATTATGTTGCAAAAAAGCGCTAGGTGAGATCGTAAACCATAAGTATTATTGACGATCTATTTTTCCAATCCAAATTTAAACTGGGTTTAACTAGTTGGACTTTAAAAAAGTAGCGTTATAAGTTTTCCAGGGTTAATATAGCCAAATTTAAAATCCAAAAATACAAGTGGCACAACTACTTTTTTGGAAACTACGCTGCAAAAAACGTTTTGAAAATTTTTAAAAGATACGTATCTATTTTCTATCTATCTATCTAGCAAACTAATCCGCTCTCGATCTCGAACCCAGTTTAATTTTGGAGATTAAAATTGACCGTATACCTATTAAGTTTTTGCATGTGCTGTAAAAAGGAATTGCGGTGAAAAATTTCTACGAAACAAATTACTTTTGGAAATATCATGTTGCAAAAAATCGCTGGGTAAAATGTCATAATACGGTCATAATTTACCACGGCTTTTTTGGTCATTTATCCTTATTAATTTTATTATATTTTTTATTGGTTGTTATTTAAAAAGATGAATTAATTGTTTTTAGTATAATAGCCTCTAATTAACAATGTTTTCCAGTTCTTCTACGCCCCGCCGGCGCCGATTTTCGCCACGGCACCGGCCAGACCAATGGTATGCACATTCATTTTAATTATTTTTGTTTGATTTCATTTTTGGTGATCGATTCGTTAATTTAAAATTTAATTCTTAATAGTACGAATTTAAATTCAAATTTTCAGTTCGCCTCCCCCATCTTCGCGCCGAGACCGTATTTCGCACCAGCCGCACCGGTACGTTAAAAATTCTTAAAATAAAAATCTAATCTTAAAAATCATCATAAAAAATATAGAAAATATTATAAAATTCAAAATTTAATGATGATAGTAATAAGTACACCCATAAACAATTCAGTTACTTATCATTAACACAAAAAATGTTACTGCGGCCAATTTATTGTTTGTTTCCTCCTATAACCTGGAGCTGATTACCCGGCACAATTATAATGTTATCGGCGATTTCCTTGAAACATATATTTTTTAGATGCTAGCCGCCCCGCTGGCCAGACCATTTTTGGCGGCGCCGCCAGCACCGGTAAGGGATTTTTAGGCGGCAAATTTAATTCTGGAAACTATTAAATTAAATGGTTTCGCGTATGGTTCTACGAACCTTATAATTGGATGTAGCGACGGGATATTGTGGAAATTTTTTACTCAAACGGACAAAAAAGATGTTTCTCGAAAAATCGGTTATTCCGCGAGATCGGTCACCACTATTGACAGTCGATGATGATATTATAATTTTCAAAAAGGAAACGCTAATATAAAGGACTTTAATCTAAATTTGTTTTACCACTTTTACTGTTTACTATTCCCAATACTACTAAGTTTAAATGATATTTAAAAATCTGGAACCGGGGACGATTTTCCAGTGACCTAAAAATATGTTTCTCAAAAAAAAGCTGCTAAAGCCTAAGTGAGTAGCATAATCTGCGCAGGACAAGGCCTAGGCTGAAATTAATTTAAAATTCGGATAATAATTCAAAAAATACAGTAAATTTTTGGATCATATTTATTATTTTGTTATATATGAAAATTGATTTTGATATTATTTACAGTTGCCAATCGCAGCCCCGCTATTCGCGCCCGCCTTCGCCCCAGCACCGGTAAATATTTAAAACATCATTTTATAATTATGGAAGCCTTTTTAATTTAATTCGTTAATGGTTCCTGAAACTTAAATATATTAAAAATTTGGCTTGCCAAAATCGAAAATGAGTAGACAGCAAAAGATTCATCTCACCACAAGATTCTCAGAACTTCGAATCAAAGATGTAAATTTGATGTTTCATTTATATCTGGCTACCTTTATATTCATTTTTAGTATTATTGTGTTTACTCTTTTTCTCCAATAATTCGAAAAGATAATTGCGAACAAAAGCTGCTTATGGCATCAACAAAGCTTAAAATTCTTCCTTTTTAAATTTCGTTGCAACATTTTTTCAGATGTACGGATCCCGATTTTTCACCCCGTTCGCCCGGCCCTCGTATTTCATCCGCGGAAAGAGGAATAGGTAAGTTTTCGTAGATTGTTTTTAATTTCATGTAATCTTCAGTGTCGAATGATGCCATCAGCGGAAACAACTATTATTTGTTTGCTATTTATTGTTACGGATAAATGTTTTGTTTTTATTACAACGGCTTTCGGTTTAACACGGACTAAAACAACAAATTAATAATATTTCTCAGTCATCGGAGACTAAAAATTTGCAAAAAATTTCGGGTTCCATAAATTTCATAATTTTGAAAATTTGTATTTCGAAATAAAAAAAAACATAAATTCCCAAGCGTACGTGTATGTAACGAAATTCAAACCATTAAAGAGAGAATTTAAATGCAAGGCTTCAGATATAAGCCGAAAATTAACAATGGAAAATCATAACCTTCTAAATTCCTCGACTACTTCGACCATAGGCGCATATTGTACTCGAGCTAATAAAAATTATTCAATTTATTAAAATATGATACATATTAAAAAATTTCAGCAACACCCGAAAACCTGAAAACAATCAAACATTTTTGCATACTGAACTCCTACGAACTCCTACGATGGTGCGTATTGTAGTGAAACGAACAAATCCGAAAATTCGGATTAAAAGCACAAAAAATTAAAAAATTATAAGCTGTCAAGCAGGAATGGCCAGCCGCCTACAACCGAAAACCTATTAAAAAAAATCAGTACGTATCGGAATCGGAAAACAATGAAACATCAAAATTTGGCTTGGAAGAATTGGAAACATTTCTTAACTCTTACGCTGGCGTCTATTTGTGCGCACTGTATTGAAGCTAACAAAAAGCACACGTTCTCGTTAAAAAATAAACAATACGAAAATTAGGCGCCAGTCAACATCTGAAATTCATGAAACATGCAAAATTTTCCATTTAAGAAATTTGAAAAATCCCTGTAATTTCTTTGCTACCATGCCGTCTATAAAACTAGCATGTTTGAACGCAGAAGCTAAAAACGAGATAAAAATCCTCAAAATCAAAACGCGCTCGAGCTAACAAAAAAAAAATGGTAAACATTCTCGTATATAACAATAACACGACGGTTAGGCGTAAGACAACATCTGAAATTCCTGAAACATTCAAAATTTCCTATTCAAAAAACTTCGAAAAAATCGCGATACCACAACGCCTATTGGTGCGTATTGTACTCGACCCAATAGAACCCAAAAATACCGTCAAAAACAGAAAATGTCACAAAAATTAAAATTTTCTACTCTGAATCTCGAAATTAAATTCAAATCTAAATCGAAAAATCAAAAATTCCTTAAATTCCACTTTTTGCACCAGCAATAGGCGCGCGTCTTGTACTGAAGCTAACAAAAAAAAATAGAAAAATGTCGTGATAAAACCACGACAGTTAAGCGTCAGACAACATTTAAAATTCCTGAAACATGCAAAATTTTCTATTTTAAAAAATTCGAAAAATCTTTGGAACGGCTGATGTCTATTGGTGCATAATGTCCTCGAGCCAAGAAAATTCAAAATTTAGCGCTTAAGAAAGAACAGAAAATGCAAAAAAAAATAGAAATTTTCCGCTCTGAAGTTCAAAAACCGCAAATTCCATAAATTCCTCTTTTCCACCTGTCCATAGGCGCGTATTGTACTCGAGCTAACAAAAAATGGCACATGCTTTAGGTAAACTGTCAACTGGGAGGTGTCAATGTTGGCACGGCCTCCCGGGTCAACTTTTAGCGCGCGCAAGCGCTAGCAGAGTACACTTTACTCCTATTTACACCCGGGGGAAATGCATACACGGGGTCGATGGGGTGTCAATAGTACTCTCGGGTACTTAAGAACTCGATTTTTCGGCTGAACCAATCACATTTGCGGCACCAAACCACCGTAGTACCCCCCTGAGAATATGAAGAGCTTCATGTGGGTTTTAGATCTTATCTTTTTTATTTTATATTATTTCAATTTTATTGCTTAAATATTCTCTTTTTTACTTTTAAATTTTTATTACATGTTTTAAAAAAGCTATTTAATGTCATAACTGAATTTGCCATTGTGCTGGAATACCTAAAAGTTGAATCTCATTCTTTGAGCAATTACAAAACCCATTTTTTTTGTAGATTTCCCCATTTACAAACTTTAACTTTAACTTTTTGAATTTGGATCCATTTTAATTTAAACTTTACCCTTCGAAATGAAAAGTTTATGGAAGTTGATCATGGAAGATTAGCACAAAACAAAAAATTTTGCGGTTTAGACTATTTTGAAACAAATTTTTATAACAAACCATTTTTCAAAAATCCCAACACTATCGATGACGATCTTCAATTACAAATGACTAGGAAATTTCATGGAAAATTTTTAGTTAAACTACGCAAAAAATAGGAAGTTTCTCAAAAGTAAATAAGAAAATAAGATACATACTAAATTAAAATAGATAATTAGTTAAGTTAATTAGGTAATTATTTAATTTAATTAGCCGAACTCTTTGCTTTTTGCAGCTGCCTCGCCTCGTGCATCGCATTGGCCACCAGCCAACTTGCGGCCTGGCCGGCCACCTCGTATTCGCCGTACTACCAGGCTCTCTACGGACCCGCGCTTGCCGCCGCCGAACCAGTGGTATGGTAGTTGGCCTGTCACCATCCCTTTAAAAACACACACGCGACGATTTTTTAGAACATCTTTCAAAACAAATCCGGCTAATAAACTGTAAGTCGGGTTTTTCAGAGTTGGCCGTCTGGTTAAGCTATTGCTTGTCAGCCGCAAGGCCCGGTTTCGATTCCGGCCAGGAAAGGGTTTTTGCTTTTTTTTGCCGGAAGACAGGGGCGGATTTTTCTGGTATTTTTAATACTTTTAATCGATTACGCGATCAAATTTGCAGCTAAGAATTCGTCCGGGTTATCTGTCAAAAAGCACTCAAATATTGAAACACAGATCTTGCAAAATTCGTCATTTTGCATATTGCCTAATGGCTTACGTAATTTAATATTTCTATAAGCAGTACTCGTAGTAAATAGCCGAATTAGGCGCTGAAAAAAATTTTTGTTATGACAGGATGCTAAAACATCATTTTTCTTCTAGGTCGCTGCCGCCGCCCCGGCCGTTCCCGCATACGCACCGGTAAGCTTTATTCTTTAGTTTTGCATAGGAAAAATATTAGTAAGCATTATTTAATTATTTTAATAAGAACTCCACACTAAAGACCATGCATTCATAAAAGTGACTCATTTAGTATTCGGCAAATTTTTGAACCTCATAAATTTTCACTACACTGTAGCAATTTTTTAAGAGCTGATTTTTGCAGTGTATTTTAGTTATAATATTTATCGTATATTCAAATTTCTATAAAGGCTTTAAATTAAACAAACCGAAAAATATCAAATCTTTTATTTTCAGGTCGCCGCCGCTGCCGCCTTCGCCCCCGCCTATGCACCGGTATACAAAGAATTCTTTAAATATTATTTAATTAGAATGAATGATTGAGAACTTAGACCAGTTTTAGAGGCCGATTTCGATCACAGAAAAACCTCCTAATAGAACGTTTAAGATATTATTTTTAAAGGATTGATTCAAAACTTTCTTGGAAAAAGTTTCAAAAAACGACGAACCTGGAAACGAAGTAGCTTTTTCAATTCCGTTAGGCCTCCTGATGATAAAAAAATTATGCAATGGGAGTATGACTATTATTTTTGTGAGTCCCAACAATTAAAATTCAGAGATGAAAATAACGTCGATTTTAAGATGATTGGCTAAATGGTTTTTTCTGAAAAATATGTTTCGAAAAGATTGAAACCAAGGAGCGAAGTTTCTAGTTTAATATGCAAGGCTTGCGAGTGTCATAAATTATTGAATATTCAAACGATTATTAATAAGGGTATAATTATCGGATTCACACTCTATATTGATTATCGAATAAAATCCCATGCCCATTGAAAAATTATTGGCTTTTGCAGCTAATTGAAAAAATATTTCGGAAAATTACAAACCTGCACGCGAAGTTGCTAATTGAATTTTGTGATCTCTTGATTCAATTTTTAAATGCTTTTTGATCTTCCCAAAAATCCTGCATATTAGCTTGCTTATTAATGGGAGTATTACTATAATTTGCTAGAGCCAAAAAAAATTTAATATAAAAATAAAATGACGATATAAAAATAGTGCTAAAAAACTCTACTAGGTTGCCGCCGCCGCCCCAGCCTTCGCCTATGAGCCCATTGTCGCCCCGGCCCCACCCCCGCCGGCCCCTTACAGTAAGCATTATAACGATTTTTATTACTGCCTCTTTTTATGTTTTTAATTCAGTTATTTAACGTAATTAATGACTTAAATCACCCCCTAAATCGAATTAAACCATCCATTTCAGCTGGCCCAGTAGCCGCGGTCGCCCCGGTTGCCCCGGCCCCCGTCTACGCCGCCGCCCCAGCGGTATGTTAATTTTATGTGTTACAAAAATTGGATGGCATCCCTGGATGCGACAATTTGTAATCTGGCTGCAAAAATTTTCGCATTTCTAATTTTTGTCGAAACATGTTTTTGCTGGATGAAAAGGCATTTCGGGGCACGGAATGAATTGGTGAATTGGCATTCAGACGAAAGGCCCGCGGCTCCAACCTAGCCCCAAAAATTTTCCAAATCTCAATTTTTGACGAAACATGGTTTTCCTGCCTACAAACCATGGATTTTGAACCATTGTGGGAGAGGTGGAACCAATTGGCAAACGTTTTTAATCGCGCTGCAAATTTTTTCTGGATTTGTATTTTTGGTGAAACATGTATTTCAAATCCCGAAAGCGCGATTTGGAAGATTGCGCGCGGAACATAGTCATTTAAAAAAAACCCGTGGGACGAATTCAGCTGTGAAATATTTCGGAACCTTTCGCTTCCGATGAAACATGTTTTTCTCGTCACAAAATTCGAGATTTTAAATGTTTGTTCGGGCTCAATTCGGAAACAATAAAATTACAAAATTAATTGCAGGTGGCCGCCGCCCCGGCCGTGCTCGCCCGCCCCGCCTATTTCGGCTACATCGGCTCCAACAAGGCCAAGAAGAACTAAACGATCGGAAATTACTCGAAAAATGGCGCATTCCCAAATGTCAGGGATGATCTCGTTCGCGTGCGTCACGCGTCGCTTATTTGTATAGCCACGGAATAAAAGGATCAAAAACGCATGTACTACCGAGAATTCACACGTAAAAACAGTGCTAATTTTTGAAGCACGATTTTTCAAAATTATTGTTTGCAAACCCAGCAAATAAATTCTAGATTCTGAATTATAGAAACGCGATTTAAATCGGATAATTAAGCGGCAGGTTCCTAAACAGAATTCTTGGTTTTTTACACACAAAAAGGAAAATTGCTTCGGAATCCCATGCCAATATAATGTTCTTTTCTTGAAACCTGATTTTTTAAAAATTGGCTTGCCTATTGTAAAAAGTGGCTGAAAAAAGGTAGCATTTAAATACTAGATTTTGTTAAAGTTAAACACGATTTAAAAATTAAATAATTAAGCGACAGACTCCTAGACAAAATTCTTTCTTCATGAAAGGGAAAAATGCATGAAAATTGCCTGAAAATTCTTTCTTGAAACATGATTTTTCAAAAAAATCCGGTATTAAAGAAACATTAGCTCGCAACATTTAGTGTAGTAGTGGTAGTGTAGCACCTTGTTTTTATAGCAAAACGGTTTTCGGGCAATTTTTCGACACACAAAAAATATAAGCTGATGCAAAAAACATATCGCGTAAAAAAGTAGTTTTTATTGCATTAAAAAAAGAGCACATAATTATTAGCTTCGAGGCTTACGAAAGATTCAAAGCATCGATTTTCAAGCGGCAAAAATTCAAGGTTATATATGAAAAATCACTTAAATCACAACATTTAAGTAAAGCAATTAAACACATTTAAAACCATGTAGAAATCTGGTAAAACTAATCGGATCCGGAATCGGCAAAAATTGGGAATTTTTCAGCGCGAACGAGTTTAGCGAAAACATTGGCTATCTCGATCCCTTTTTCGACGCACAGAAAATATGAAACGTGGATTTGGAAAAATAATGGAAGATGGAATTAAGGTTAACGTATAAATAATGCAGCTTCATTTACTCAGCCAAATTCATCTCCATGATGTCACGCGCCGCCTGGGCGTCCTCGCGGTCCTGCGCTGTTTTGTCGCGAGCGGCGGCTTGGCTGAAAAGAATGTTTCATAGAAAATTCATGGGGATTCGAATACCATCTTCTGTAATGCGCAGTCTAACTTACCGAAAAATATTTAATGGACTTGCCTTACATTATAATTAAAGCATATCGTGGTAAAATAACTGGAACGGTAAAGGCAGTTTCACCGATTGTGCTGGCCAATGATTCCGTATATTTTCCCGGAAACACACTTTTTTCGCGAAAATTCTAGGCAAAGCAGAAATTTGTATTTCAGCAATTTTAAAAACTTTTAAACACCAATTTATTTTAATAAATTTTAATAAAAATAATTGAATTAATAAAATTCATGTGTAGCAATTTAAAAGATCCTAAACACCAAATTGTTAGTAGAGGGCTTTATAACGTATTTTCTATGAACCTCCAATTTTTATATAGAAAATTAGATTATTTAGCCAAATCCTAAATTGACTTTTTAAGAAACAAAAAATCGCTAATTTTGTAGCGTTTACTAGAGTCATTCTAGAAAATTCTAGAATCCTATAAAAATCAATCATATTCAATTCAAGTCCAATACCGTCCACCAGTTTTTAGTCAAGATTAGCTCTCCCGAAACATATTTTTTTACATAAAACCTTTCCGCAAAATCAGGTTTTTTACAAAATATTCAGAGGAGTTGCTAAGGAACTAAAATTTAAAGTTTATCGGCCTTTTAAAGTGCATTCAATGGAATGAAAACATTTTCGATAGGAGTACGCGAAAAATTACTTAATTACCCTCACCGGCCATACAATAATTTCCGCGAAACCCACTTTTTCTCGCGTCGGCCAAGGGTGAAAAAGTTGAGGGCAACGTTGCGATACGGCTTGATGAAGACGATGGAGATGATTGGGGTTAGAAGTGGGACGACGCCGATGAAGTATTCCGGCAGGAACTCTTGCCATTCCCTGAATTTGTTGGGTCGATATAAATCCACAAGAACCACGATGAAATCTGAACATTCGCACATGGGCAAGTCCCTTTGATCCTCGAATAAATGAAACAACATTTTTCCAAAAAAAAAAATTTTTTCTTAATCTTTCAGATGTCATAAAAAACCGTTAAAGGGGTACCGCGACACTTGCGGCGCGGACACTTGCGGCGCGACACTTGCGGCGCGACACTTGCGGCTGCGACACTTGCGGCGCGACACTTGCGGCGCGACACTTGCGCCCGACACTTGCGGCGCGACATTTGCGGCGCGACACTTGCGCCCGACACTTGCGGCGCGACGTTGCGGTTATTTAGTATAAGCTATATAAAAATAGTTTAAGGTGTTATTTGATAAGCTGCGTCCGAATTTGGGATAAAGCATTATAAAAAGTTGGGTTTGCGACAGAAGTCGACTCAGTTTGGAGGGAAGGTGATCGCTACTCTCCTCCGCTCTGCGACTAAAAAAGGCTGGTACCAGGGCCTAGTCGCTTCGGATGGGTGCGTTCTCGTACAGTGTTTCTAAATCGGGGCGCCCGAGGAGCGCGAAGCGCCCAGGCGCCCCGATTTAGAAAGAATGAAGCGGCAGCCCATCCGAAGCGACGGCCCACCTGGACGCCCTCAGGGCGTTGCGACTGCGGGTCGGTTAAATTGCTAATTTTGAACACAAATACAACAATTACAAACCAAATCCGTGAAGAAATGCTAAGTTTACAACATTTTAAAACAATAAATGCTGCGCCGCAAGTGTCGGGCGCAAGTGTCGCGCCGCAAGTGTCGCGCCGCAAATGACCGCGCCGCAAGTGTCGGCCGCAAGTGTCGCGCCGCAAGTGTCGCGCCGCAAATGTCGCGCCGCAAGTGTCGCGCCGCAAGTGTCCGCGCCGCAAGTGTCGGGGAGCCGTTAAAGGACAGTCAGCAAATTGCTCTTTTCTCACGCCATTCGGCTCCTCGGATCGGTTAAACACATTTTTTCAAAAAACAACTTTTTGCATATTTTATATTTTTGGAATTTGAAATTTATAGCTTGAGCCTTGTTTAATGGCTGAAAACTCACAGGCTGTCGGTGTAGAAGTAGCAGAGCAACGAGTTGGCCAAGATCGGCACCGTAAAGGTGAGCGGGATGAATGCTTCGGCGAAGACGGCATGCACCAACACCTCGTGCGACATGCGCGCTTGGAACGACATTTGGCCCTAAAAATAAAATTTAATCAAATCAAACTCTAAAAAATAATAATAAAACCATAAAAAGTTGTTTGAATTTAGAAAAACTCTTAATAAAGAATAGGATTTCGGTAAAGATTTTAGCGTTTGTGAAACTGTAAAATTGCGACTGGTAAAACGAAATTTGGTCAATTTTTTAAATTGATTTTCATTTGCAGTATAGTTCAATTTGACTAAAACACTATTAAAAAATGTCCAGCGATAATCACCCCCCCGATAATAAAAAAGCACCCTCAAGTGATCTCTGCTAGCTTGCCAGATTTTAAAGGCTCACCACAAAAAATAGGAAATTTTATGTTTCGCAAATTCAGGTATTTTAATAAAATGTTTTTGATCAATTCACTCTGGCTTCTTTTATCAAAAACCTTTTTTATAATTGATCCGCAGCTATTTTAAAAACATCCTTTTTATTAATTTGTTCTGATTTTTTTAATAAAATCCATTTTATTAGGTTATTCCTAACCAATTTACCAAAATCGACACTTTACCGATTTCTTCTGCAGCGTCTGCAACATAAAGTGGGCGCAGACGAGGACGATGATGTAGGCGATCAAGTGCCCAAACGCAGCCACGGCTAAATAGCCGATTTTGCAAAAAAAATTTGGTTTAAATACTAGCTTGTCACGACCAGGGTTGGTCACACTGGACCCCAATCGGATCCGGTCCGGTCCGGGGGTCGGTCCGGTCCGGTCCGGTCCGAAATTTCCATCCGGACCGGACCTGTCCGGTCCGTGGCGGGCCGAGGGGTTTTGATTTGCTAGGAGAAACGGAAATGCAATATGCAAATTCGGATTGCAAAAGAGTGGCGTACGAAAAAAAATGACGCAATGTGGAATTCGCTTAATCAAAATGTATAAAATTATTCATTCCCGCTTAATTTTTGGCTATATAAGCGACGGATCGTAGCCTAGATGTGGAAAAATATGTCAAATTCTGGGAGAGTAGTATTTTGCATACAAAATTTTCCATATCTAGCTCCTGAATCATGTCCTCTGGGTTCAGACCGGACCGGACCGGTCCGGTCCGGTCCGGTCCGGTCCGAAATTCTCGGATCCACTCGGACCGATCCGGACCGGACCGGACCGCGGACCGTCCGCGGACCGGATCCTTTGTGACCAACCCTGGTCACGACGGTATTTTAAGCCAATAAAAAGGTATTTAAAAGTAGCACAGATAATTAACGACCGATTCCGAAAGTTTTGAAAATTCGTCCGTTCGACTTCGAATCCAATTGCCAATCTAATGACTTCTCAAAACTTTTGTAAAATCAATTTTTTCGAAACACCTTGTTCCTTAACGAAACGAAAATACCTTTGTAACCAACTTTATTTAAAAAGTGATGTGCGATACATATAAATTACAATTCGTGAAATTTGGGATCGTATTATCGTTTTCCAATCGAATGATCCTTAAAAATTTTATGTAACATCAAATTTTTCAAAGCAAATGAGGTCAAAAGCTGGCCGCAGAGTTTAACGCGTCGCGACGCATTTTTATAATTTTTCCTGCAGTTTTACTAGAATTTTCTACGTATTCTAGTATCCTTACCCAAAAACAGAATCAAAATCGGGTTCCGCCCAAAATCGTCGCCGAAGATGCTGATGCGGCTCTGAAAAAAGGTAAAATCCTGAAAAAAATTGATGTTTTATCCTGTCACGATGCTGTTGCAGATATATATTTTTTAATTCTTGATAACAACTTGTGCAGAAATCACTTAACCCCCTATTTCAGGACCTTTAAAACCCGTCGTAGACTATTTAAATCTGGCACAAGTTTCTGAAGAAGCTTCCCAAATACCGTACGTTGGAAAAGTATCTCAAACAGCATTTGAAACCTTAACTAAAAGATTGGATTCGATTGGGGGCTGCTAAAATAGTGTTTCATTTCAAATCTTCATTTCGCATAACTATCACAGGTTAATTCGTCCTCGAAATTTGTATTTTTCAAATTTTTCTACAACAACGCGGCCCAAAAACGTTTAAAATTGATCCCAAGTAATTAAGATAACCCTCTAGTTCTTAGGCTAAAAACCGCGTTTCAAAAATCGTTAAATATCATTAAAACTCAATAATGTTCGTCGTTTCCAAAAATAGCATCGTGGTAGCAAACTTACAAAAATTTCGGAGCTACCATATGTTTCAGAACATTTTGAAAAGCGGGCCTGCAATCTCAACGTAATTTTTTCGTTTGCTTTTGCTGAAAAACAAAGAAAGGAAAAAAATGAATTAAAGGGTTCAGGAACGCCCGGGAATAATTAAATAAGCCTAAAGTCAGCTCAAACTACGAGCTTTAGTCCTAAAATCAGCACAAATCTTCTCTGCTACCTCCTGCCTCGCTCCACTCTCTGGCTCGTTGCCAATTATAGAGGAGCCCTCATCTGCTGGGCCTTCCTTACCCCTTTAAAGTGGGACTTCTTCTGTTCCAAAAATATGTTTCCAAAATACTTTGTAAAGAGTTAGTGAACATTAAAAATAATAAAAGACAATGTTAAACGTCCAAAAATTGCCCAACTACCGTACCAGCTGATTTTTCACCGCTTCTTGCATGGCGAGATCGTTGACAGTTTGGGGCTGACCGCTTGTCCCAGTTACAGCGCTCTGAGCCTAAATTGTGTGTTTCAAAGAAAATCATCAGCTAAGTAAATAATTCGGTGGTAATCTTTTGTCGGACGACGCTCACTGGTACTTTAATTTTTGCTTGTTTTTATTAATCATTTAATATAATGCAATTGTATGAAACAAACAAAACTTCCTTACAAGATTGTTATACTTACAAATTTTCGAACTCAATTTTGTCTAAAAACACGCCTTTTTTGGTGCAAAATTTTTCTTTATATAAAAGTTTCCAAAATGCTGGTCACTGCAATTGATTGTAAATTCCGGCCTATTTGCAGACAATTTTTCAAAAAATGTTTTATTTATATTTAAAAACTTCTATTTTCTGACTTTGTTAATTCGAACTGGGCAGCAGCATTTTTTTAATTTCAAAGCCGCACAAAGTTGCGATAAAATTAAATGACGGAATGGGAATAAAAGTTCGCTTCTGTCAAAGATTTGATAAGAATAAAAGAGATCGGACAAACTTGATAATTACGCTATTTCGATTTCCGGAATTAGGCTAGCAATTTAAAACATTTTTTGACAAACATGATCGAAAAATTTCCTTGTTTTACTGTCACTAGGCCTTCAAAAAGTTATGCACTTTTCTATTGACACTCAAATTTAATTTTTTTATGTTTCATAAATATCACATTATAGCAAAAATTCTCCAGTTCTAGTGATTTTCGTCTTCTGGTTCCTACCATATTCGGGTTCTGTGTGGTGGTGAACAGGATCTGCAGATGGTTCGACGGCGGTTCCCTGAACTGCTCGAGGGCGTCGGAGGTGCGGTTCAGGCGGTCGAAGAGGGACTGGAACAAGGAAATCATTGCAAATTGAATAGGCTAAAACCGCTCACAGCGGATTTTTACGCTGTAAAAAATATGTTTCGGGAAGGGTAGGTAGTTGGGAAACCAATAAACCCGCTACCTACCTCATTTAACGATTGCCACCGGAAAACTTGATTTTCCAGTGGTTCGACAATTTTTATACGATTTTATAAAAATTCCTATGCCATTTCATGGGCATGCACTAGGTCTGCGCTTTTTGCAGGTTTCTCGCGATTGTTTATATATTTTTTGGTAAATACCGCATTCTCTAGCACTCAAACTGCATAGAAAACAAAAATTAAATCGATATGTTTACAACGATAATTAAATTATGTTTCGTGAAGTCAAGCTGAATAAATTCTAGATCGTGCAATTATTCGAAGTAGATTCGCATATAGCAAGATTTCCCGGTTTTAGAAAATTGTGTTTGTGTCTGAAATATGTTTTTATGAAAGTTAAAACACTGCCTTTAAATATTGGGTTTTTGCCTAAGAAACGCGGTTACTGTGCTTCAACAAATTAAAATGAGAAAGATAACCGCTAAGATAAAAAAATTTAAGTTTTTTTGTAAAAATATGTTTTGTCCACCAAACAAGCTTCAAAACTCCGGAGCGCGAGATTTTATAAGCGCGCTCAATGCGAAATTCGCAAAGTAAGTTCAATAAAAAACAAGGGTAAATATAATTTTTCAAAAGGCGTACGCGACCCACATTGTAGTCAATATTGGAGTAGTAAAAGAAGAAGCCCTCAGTGGCCGACATCAGAAAAACCATGACGAAGGTGAGGAGCATGTTTCGCTTGTTGAAGTAGTGCCCGTAGCTCACCGAGTTCGTTAGGATCACCTGGAAAATCCGTGATTCTTCGAGTTCTTTTGCATTATCGAGGGGGGACATTTTTTAAAGAACTTTTTCTGATATAAATTGTTCTGGTACAGTTTCTACATTTTTTACTATAAATTTTCGCTGTCATCGACGCGAATTACCACCTTTCAGAAATCTTTGTTTGTTGGCTTCAATAAAGCATGTTTTTTCTTTGAGATTTTTTGAAGGAAACTTACCAAACGGTAGACGAAGAAGATGGGAAATGACAGCACGTTGTACATATGAGCCGTGACGGCCACACCGGCCAGGCCTTTCTGAAAGTATCTATTTAATTTTTCTACATTTTAAATTGTGATAATTTTTATTATAGACGTCCAATTCTTTAATTATATTTTAAAAACTAAAGTCGGCTTTTAAAATGCTTAGAATGAACTCTAATATAAAAATTTACTAAATAAAATATGCTGCTAAACATTTTATCCTTTTTGGTAAAACTTAAATCCACTTACAACAGCAAAATCGGGCCAATGCTGCGCGACCCCGTGCGGCACGCGAATTGTCATCGAGCCGCGAACCACCTGGAAAAGGTTGTGTTTCACCAAAAACACTTTTCAACAAATAATCATGAACCTCAGTTGGGCGGCATACATGACCTTAAATTAGGAAGCCCAGAAACTATCTAAAATTATTATCAGTGGCTAATAATTTGCAGCGTCGATAGCAAAAAAGTTTCATGGAAAAAGCTTGAGAAAAATTAAATAAAAAAGCGTCGTTAAGTAGGCGCCAAAGTATGTGAATTGATTACCGTATATCAAGATTTCTCCGCAATAGTAGAAAATATTATGTTTCGAAAAAAAGCATGAGAAACTAAGCAAACTATGAAGCAATTCGCGTTTGTGCGAGACGAACACGAAAAATTTGTAGAACTCAAAACGTTCGAAAAGCACATAATTTACCTTAAGTTTTGTAAAAAATGTTACAACTTTCGAATGCCGGAAATTTTTGAACGCCATTTTGTAAAAATTAGGTTTCGTCCAAAGAGTTTGGGAAAAAAAATAAATATGGAAGTCAGTCGCAGTTTGATCTACAAATCTATCTAAAAAGCGCGGATGGCTGATTTAATCTTTTATACATTCGGAATTTGGGATGCACGAAAATTTGGCTCGTAAAAATTATGTCTCGCGAAAAGAATTCTGGGGAAAATAATTATCGAAGCCAATAGAGTCCTTGCAGGGTCTTTACTGTACCTACCTTGAAAATAAAAATC